CCATTTGAATTCAGGTATCCCTTAAACTCCTCTGACACAAACTGTGGTCCGTTGTCGCTTCGCATGCTGTAAGGTAAACCGTGCCTCGCGAACATACTCTCAAGTTGAAGAATGATCTTCTCACTGGTTATCTTTTTCATAATGGCTACTTCTTGAAATCGGGAAAAATAATCTATAACGACTAGTAAATATTCCCCAGAAGGAAACGGTCCCATAAGATCTATAGCCAGATCCTGCCATGGCCCGTCGGGTAATACCGTTGTTCGAACTGGTTCGGGCCTATTGTTGTTCGACAAAAGTTGGCATTGTTGACATGTTCTAACAAATCGCTCAGCTTCTGTATCTATGCCTGGCCACCATACCTTTTCTCTTAGTCTTTGTTTCGTGCGAACAATGCCCTGGTGTCCTTCGTGGGCCAACTGTATCGTTTGTCTCCTTAGACATTTAGGCAGTATGATGCGCGATCCACGTAATACTATTCCGTCGACGACTGAAAGTTCCGCTTCCACGGTACGAATTTTAGGATCCAGACGCCCATGCCCTGTTTTGATCCTCCTCATAATCTCGACGAGTTCTCGGTCCTCCGAAGTTTTCTGACGAACTTCTTGAATAGTGAGTGCTTTCGGTACAGCATTATCTGCAATGAAATGCGCATACTCGTCTGCAATGTGGCGTATTCGGCAAGCCTGATTCTGACTCAATCTGGATAGAGCATCAGCAGCATTCTTTGGTCCAGGTATATAGGCAATCTTATACTTATACGGTTGAAGTCGCAACATCCATCGCTCGATTCTAGCTGGTGGTTTCGACTTTGGAGAGAAAATGTAAGTCAACGGCTTATGATCCGTCCAGATTTCGAACTCCAGCCCGTATATATACATGTGAAACTTTTCACAACCAAACACGACACCTAAAGCCTCGCGCTCGGTCTGCGAGTATCTTTGCTCAACGTCGGTTAGAGTTCGACTTGAATATGCAATTGGTTTAAACAATCCGTCCGGTTGTTTCTGTGCTAGAATGGCCCCAAGTCCAACGGGACTTGCATCCACGATTATTCTTGTCTCGGCTTTTGAATTATAATATGCTAGAGCTTCGGCACTCACGAGCGCTCTTTTTAGCATGTCGAACGCATCCTGGTGTCTTTTCGTCCAACTCCAGTGCGTGTTCTTCCTTGTAAGTTCTCGTAAAGGGGCAGCTATTGTTGAGAAATTTGGTATAAAACGGCCGCAGTAATTTGCTAGCCCCAGGAAGCTCCTTATTTCGGAACTGTTGCTCGGCGTCCTGGTCTCCGATACTGCTTTGATCTTTTCCTGGTCAGGTTTAACCCCCTCTGATGAAATCACATGTCCGAGGAACACAATTTTTGACAGACCGAATTCGCATTTTTCTCTGTTTAGGGTAAGCCCTTTCTCAGCTAGTCTGTCGAGCACCTTCGTAAGTTTCTTGTTATGATCCGCCTGATCCGTCCCGTAGACTACAATGTCATCAGACAAATTCCTTACTCCTTTGATACCTTGAATGACTTGTCCAATTACTCTTTGGTAGATCTCAGATGCTGAGGAAATTCCGAACATGAGGCGCTTATAGCGGTAAAGGCCCTCGTGTGTCACAAATGTGGTTATCTCTCTTGATTCCTCGTCTAGCTCTATTTGGTGGTATCCCCAACGTAAATCGAGTTTTGAGAACACTGTGCTGCCGTTCATATCCTCTAGCATTTCATCCACAGTCGGGATCGGGTATCGCTCGCGTTGAACAGCAGTGTTGACCCGTCTCATATCGACACAGATTCGAATTTCCCCGTTTTTCTTAGGCACAACGACAAGTGGCGACACCCAGGCCGTTGGGCTGTTTACTTTCTCAATTATGTCCATTTTCTCTAGCTCCTCGAGTTTTTTGTGCACGCTTTTCCTCACATTAAATGGTAAACGTCGTAACGGTTGTGCTACAGGGGTCACGGTCTTGTCGACATGGATTTTCAGCTGAAAGTTTTCCAGTTTCCCTACTCCATTGAAAACAGAGTTTCTTGAGGCAACAATTCTATCAAGTTCGCTTCTAACGGAGCATAGGTCCGGCTCATCGGTTCCTATGCGTAGAACTCCTAGCTCTACCGCTGTGTCTTTTCCTAGTAAGGAAATATAATCGCCCTCAACGACAGCAAACTCTGCATATGTTTCACGCAGTCCATGCTTGGTGACAGCCCGAAATGTTCCTAGTATTTGTAAAGGTTCCTTTGATCCGTAAGAAAACAATCTTTTTGTGCTTCTCGACAGAGACATTGTTTCATCGTTAGCTCTAACGGCGCTCCATACATTGTGGTTAACGATATTGCAGCTCGCGCCAGAGTCAATTAGCATCTGTATCTTAGCTCCGCCCACGCTAACGTCTAACATGCCATTTGCATCGTTTTTGTAGACAGCAAATGCGAACTCGTCATCTGAGGACTCGCTCTGCACTAAATGAACATGCTTTGTACTGCGGTCCTTACCTGGTCTAGTGCGCGGGGTATCCGATTTAGTCTTACACACTTTTGCGAAATGACCCTTCTTTCCGCACTTATTACATGTTTTGTCCTTAGTAATTGTACAGTTCCTTGCAATGTGGCCCTTCCGTCCGCACCGAAAACACGTGGCATCTTTCTGCGAACTTTTCTCAGACACGTATTGTTTCCTGTGACTTACCGACGGCCTAACAGTGTTTACATCGGAGCTTGAAAATGTTTCACTGCCCTTGAATCTGTCTGCTTGCTCGTCTACGATTTCGCCAGCTCGGGCTATATCCATTGCACTTTTTAAAGTTAATTCCTTTTCCTTTAGGAGTCTTTTTCTTAGTTTTGACGATCTACACTTTTCAACAATTTGATCTCGAATGTTGTCGTCTGGCTTCTCAAATTCACAGGTTACGGCCAGTTTGCGCAGCCTAGTCACAAAACTGTCAATTTTTTCTGTTTCACCTTGTGCCGCATTCCTGAACAAATGGCGCTCAAATGCTATGTTCCGTTTTGGTTGGAAGTACTCATCTAATTTCTTTTTGGCACCGTCCAGGTCATCTCCAGACTCCCCAAGGGTATCAAATATTTCTTGGACTTCACTTCCCGCGGAATGTAGAAACAAAGCCCTTTTTTGTGCTTTATCCGTTATCCCTGTCGCCGTTATGTAAAATTCAAAAGTTTTCTTCCACTTATCCCACCTTTGGGAAACGCTTGTCTGGTCACCATTTACATCAAAGGGATTAAGTGCAGGTAACTGCAATGCCTTTGCCATTATTGTTTTTCCTCGTCGCCAATGTACTGTCCGTGTTCTAGACACTTATAACAGAAAACACGTCTGCTCGGTTTAACGCTTTAATTCTAAACTACATAACTAAATGATTACACAAATCGGCGTGGCTGAAACTGTCAACATCAATTACTGAACTTGTATTTAACATATAACATTCTGCTGGTATAGCAAATTCCTAAACGTGGGAAAACATTAAATCTGAATGACTATTTTAAGATATGAACATTACAACCATAATATCTCACGGAAGTTAATTCTCGAATATTGAATGAATCAGAAGCAGGTCGACCGGGATCTATATATAGACGAAGTCTATTTACATGGGAATCTCCTATGATGAGTGACGTCATCGTTGTAAACAAAGGGATTCTGCCTGCATTGACACCATTTGTAAATTGTACACAGTATATCAGCGGAATAGTAACTACTTATCCGCCAGCAAGTTATTAATCATCAGTAAGTTATACAGTAATCGCTCATACGTTTGCAAGGCGAATAAATCACATTGTCTCTCAAGTTACGCAACTGTAGATGATCAGTCCTCGAAGTGACGCTTTCTCAATTTCTTACCGAGGATCGAGGAAACTAGACTTAAACCATTATAAAAACATCCCGCAAGTTGAAAACATGGTGAAAATCCTTATCTGAATGACTGAAATTTACATAAAGAATGCGCATGCGCATCAGACAAAGTAACTCGTTCCTAGATCACATTAAAAATAGTACAAACAAATACTCGACCACAGGGGATGCAACATACATAAATAATTTATTGGCATAAATTATGTTATAGAGTTGAATATAACACATGATCACACATATAGGAAATGAAAAAATGGAAATAATTCAAAAACATAAAAACATGAAATTTTCTCAAATGCGCATGCGCATCAGACAAAGTAACTTTCCTAGATCACATTAAAAATAGTACAAACAAATACTCGACCACAGGGAATGCAACATACATAAATAATTTATTGGCATAAATTATGTTATAGAGTTGAATATAACACCTGATCACAAATATAGGAAATGAAAAAATGGAAATAATTCAAAAAACATAAACATGTCTCAAACACTGGTTTTAGGTAAAATTGAAACAAAAAGTTCAAGGATGACTTGATCAGTTATCTGAAGGAAGAAAGAGAAAAATAACAAAAAGTCTTTAATTTTATGAATGTCACAAATCACGTTTCAACGTCAGTGTTGCACCAATAGCTTATTCCGTAAGATTATCATTACCAAGAATAACTTAAAACTAATATTTTGTTAAAATTTATATACGTTGTATTTATAAAAAATGTAAACTGTGATGCATGCCAGTTCTAAACTTTTTGATTTTTATGAAACAAAAAAGTTTTTTTTTTCTGGGAAAACCCTCGTATATTTTTTTAATAATTTCAATACTTAACTTAGATAAAAATTACAAAAGATTTAAAAACAAAATACAACTTTTTTTTTATTTTTTTTTTCTCAAATGGAATGTTTTATTGTGAGTTGTGAGCAAAATTTCAAAAGAAGATGCATTTTATCATTGGAGATACAAAAAAGGTACCGAGAGTGAAAATTTCTTCATAAAATATTTTATTACATAAATGAGGTTTCATAAATATGTCTGTAGTAGTAATACCATTATGAAAGCTAGTAAGGTCAACTATTCTTTCTAATATGAATAGTCCAGAAAATATATTTAAAAAAATTACGATGATAACACAGCCCTGTAAGTAAATAAATAAGCTTATTTCTTAGAAATTTTTTATTAGTTATTAATAGCTGGATCTGTAATTTCCATTTATAAATTGAGTTCAGTATCATTATCATGCTTGTCAAGATTTTGTGAAGCAATAGACTGTCCATCCTTAAGTCGTTGTAAAGAATCGTAATCATACTGTACCACAACAGGTGCGTCACTTCCGCCAGCAGGTTGAAAATGTTTGATTTGACTGCACATTTAAAAACAAAAGAAAAAGATGCTTTGATTTTAACACGCATGTCTACTCAAGTCATTTTGATATGCATCGTTTAATGCATGGTTACTCATTCTTAAAATGAAATGCATTAAATTGAAAAACGAAAACAATATAGTGTAACGTACCATTTCAACCTTATAATGTATGCGATAAGCAAACAAACCACAAGAGAAAGAACACCAATTGATGGCAGGTAGATTTTCTCCGACAATGTGCTAACTTCCTCTATATTAGAATATGGTAATATTTTTTTTTTTTTCTTCGGTGGAATGAAGTAGTTTGATTTTTGCAGAGACTTGATGAACAAAAAATATCTATGACATCTAGATTCTTTTGCATCACAACTTCTCTATAATTTCAAGAATGTGCCTTTCAGAATCAAAGATCATAGAATGGAGCATAAGAATTCTGTGAAGCAACTTATAATTAAAAGGACGACGTAAATAAAATTCATTTTGGAAAGATAAGCTCATCACGCAAAGATTCCCTTAAAACTATAATCCTTCAAAAATAGTTTGAAGTAAAACTTGGATTCCAAATGATGGCCCTGCCCTACCCCTCCCCCACGCAACCCCACACCCCATCCTTCAGCAAATACAAAAAAATTCTTATAGCTATTCTCATAATTTTAAACTACTAATGATGTTTGTATATTGATTATATAAATTAATGTGTTATCACTTTTAAAAGGAAATCCAATGAACAAGATACAAAAACTGCATATGCTTTTTCCATTATTTTACGTATATACATGTACATATTTTAATTAAGGACGGTTTTAAAGAAAACTATTGGGAATTTTTTTTTATTTTTAACTTAACTTACAGCTTAATATGTATAAATGTTCCTCATGAATTTTTCTTTAAAAAGACAAATAGACAAATAGACTTAATAGTGCATTGAAAAAATAAATCGATTGACTACCTGCACATCCGCTGACTTTATCACATTGATGACAATTGCATTCCCATTTGCAAAAGTACCCATAAAAACCATGAGGACATGTTTCGGTACAGTTTGAACCATATGTTCCTGGGGGACACGCTTTTTGTAAAACAAAATTTTATGAAAAATCAAAAAAAAAAAATGCTAGGAATTCCAAGAAAAGATATTTTACTCGAATATAATTATCTCACCTATACAGAGGTTACCATTTTTATGGTAATTTTGACAACAAGTGATGTCTCTGTTTGTAGAAAGAAAAGATAACAATTCGTTTAAAGACGTAAAGGCATTTCTTTAAAAAAAATGCTTAAGATACTCTAGATTATTTTAAACTTGATATGAAAAAAAAAACTAATTTAATGATTTCTAAGATATTTATTTACTACTCACTCAGATAGATTGGAGCAAATTCCAGGGTTTACGGCGAACAGTTCATTGAAAACTCTGAAGAAGAAAATGAACACCAAAATTATACGACAATCCATTTTGTGATTTATACTTGCGTTTTGGATAATTTACATTTCATGGTATATATAGATCTTAATGCTGTTTCGTATGGAGAGGAAGGGAAGAAGAAAACACACTGGAAATAATGAATTATTCTACAGGAAAATGAATTCGAAGGGCGGAAATATCGTGACAATTTCCTAAAAATGGTAATAAGATAAACATAAATTACATCCACGATAAAATCTCAACATTCCAAGAGTGAAAACGTTAAATTCATTGAGTCGGTGAAAAGGTTCATATACATGAACATAGGAATGTAAGCATTTTAAATTATCCTAACCATAAGATTTTTTTAAACAAGAATTTCCTTTCACTAATTTAACACCACGGCAATAGGAAGAAAACGGTACGGTCTGACACGTTTACATCATTTAAAGTCAGGTTAAATGTGCTCAGCATTTAACGTTTGTGCGACATGGTTAACAAGAGATGTTTAATATCTCCTCTGCATCTGTATTTCTGAGTGTTTGTGCTTAATGTCTTTTTACATATATGTATTAGTATTGTATTGATTTTTTGGTGGGACCAATCACTGGTATCTTCATCTTACCATTCATTCTTATATCATCTTAAATACATGTAAATCTTACAATTTCGATATAGATAATTTCACACTGACGCCATAATTGGTTGACACGTTTTATGAAATCAATTTATACGGATAAAGTTACCTTACTACAAATCATACGCATATGGGTCTTACAAATCTCTCAGGTGCAGATTCGATACGAAAGGGTATGACCTTTGTATGAACAAAACGATGTAGGTTACTTACAACCAAGTTGCTGAAACAAGAATATCAACAATCTATAGTCGATACAATAACCTTGTCAGTAAATGCAATTTATGTAAATAAATTATTTTATGACAACGAATTTCCATGATTTACATTTCTCACCCTTGGTGAGCCTCATATTTTGTTTAATCAGTAACCCGTATGTAGCCTCTCAACTTTCCTTGGATTTCATTGGCTAAGAGATAGCGTCCTTTTTGTACTAGACTTAGCCTGGAGGAAAACAAAGATTTTTTGGGATCATTTTAACCAGTTTTTTATTTATTTATTTTGATGAAGAGTTCGTCCCATGTTTAAAGTTTTTGATTGCTTGAACAATTGAGAGACGATTTCTGGTTTTGAGAGCTAATTTCCAGGTAAATGCTTACAATTTTGTTTGTTTTCATCTGAGTTCGATAGTGTGTGACCGCCATTGTTATGTAAACATTCAGTGCGTTCTATTTGTGAAATGGCGAACGTTTTAGTGGTCGGACACAGTTTTATTCGTCGATTAGAACAATCATTAGGACAGTATGCAGGGTGTAATAATAATTTTGGACTTGACTTTGATTTTTGCACGATTCAATTCTACGGAGTGGGCGGTGCAACGTTAGATAAACTCTGTGTCGATGATGCGTTGTTTCATAAGATCAAGAATTTTCATCCAAGTGTTATTATACTTCAACTGGGTGGCAATGACCTGTGCAATAGAAAGTTAAAACCAGAAGTTTTTGCTTGCAGGCTTGTGGAATGGGTCGAATCGCTTGTATACAAATACAGCTACATTAAGCGAATAGTTGTTTGTGAACTTTTCATTCGTTCAAGCCCACGATATGTGACAGTGGAGATGTACTCTTTTCGACGTGATATTGTCAATCAAATGTTAAAGGACATGTTAGAAATTCACCCAAAGTTGGGATATTGGAAACATTTACGATTAATGAATAGTCCATTGGCCATCCTTAGTGTAGATGGTGTACATCTGTCTGAAATAGGAAATAGGAAATTCTATAGGAGCCTAAGATTGGCGATTCTCCAGGCCATAAGGTATTGTTTACATGTTCATTGTTGTATATAATAGAGTAATTTAGTACAACAAAACATGTTTAAATTTGAAAACATTTGTCATTGGTTCAAATGGATTACTTCAGTTCTGGTTCATGTTCATTTGATATCATTGATAGATATAAAATGTTATTTTATTTCTTTTTCTTGATGCATTTAATGCATTATTACAATTCAAAATTACATCTGTGGCATTCTATTTGTTATTGGTCATTTCTGATTCTAGGCCTATTTCATTATCATGATGTCTGCGATTAGTAACATATGACACGAGCAAGTGTACGCTTTATTTTGTGCTGTAGCATGCTGAGAATTTAGCATGTAAACAATGTAAATTGTTTATCATATAAGTACTTGATGCCTAATTAAAGGTTAAAAATATTTAAACTAGCAGTAGCATGCTCTATAAGTGAAGCATGTAAGTCTGTTCTGTATTTCATAATTTTATATATTATGTAATTTCCTGGAATGATGACATTATTTGGCATTGAACAGGAAAATATTTCCTTTGTGCAGTGGCATGCTGCATATTCAGCATGTAAGATTATTTATCTAATGATTTAGAAATATACATCTATATGTTTATGCCTGTGAGGTTGATTGAATAATTAATTATGCAGGCTCTGGCATGCTTTAAAAAGCATGCATAAAGCAAATTTCAAATTTGTTGTTTTAAGAATATAACACAAGTTTATTGGCATGTATGTTTTTACATGTAATAATTTACAAATCTTTAAGGCAGGAAGTTAACACCTGTTATGAATTTTCTGGTGCCAATTTGATAAATATATCATGGCATTTTATTATTTAAAAAAAAAAAAAAAAAAAAAAATTGGCATGCTTTATGTTAAAAAGCATGTATGTTGGCATGCTAATGAATATTCTTAGCATGTATTTGCTTTATTTGTATTTTGTTATTTTAGAACACCATAATGGGTCCTAAAAAGAAGAACCCATCGTCAAACACTGGACAGAGAGCAGCAAAGAGACAAAAGACAACAAATGACACTGTGCAAAATGACCCTAATGTTATACAAAGTTTGACTCAATCGATAACGGCAAACATCTTGTCTGAATTGAAGAAAGTTGGTGTTCTACCTTCGACCGGACAACAAGAAACCATCACAACACTAAGTGGACAGCAAACCGCCATGCCAAAAGAAACAAACGCAGGAGAAATTGTGAATGAACCCTTTCCACTTCAAGCTCAACAGAGAATTAATTCAACGGTTACATCTTCAACCCCACAGTCCACTACAGCCCAACATGCCCAAGGTGCAACACAGATTACAGCAGCCAGTGCAGCACCAGTCATTATTCCTGAATCAAGTGAACAGCAACTACCAGCAGCTACTTTTGTGAACCTGACTCAACAATTACAGGGTAATGTTGAAAGTACGTCTGAATACAAACCTCTTGGTAGACCCCTATACACGTACGTTTCGAGCAAAATCAAAGAAAAGATATTAGCCAATGAATTCGTCCAGATGAGTGACATTCTAGACCCTCCTACTGATCTGGAATTTGTTGACTTCCATCTCTCTGTAAAGGATAAGGGTAGAGTTGGTCTAAGTTCCAATAAAAAGAAAAAGTACATAACGATCGAAGAATGGACTGACGCATTTAATATCTTCAGTTCCGTAGTACGGCAGGGCAGTCCGAATGATAAAGATCTACCAGAAGCTTTGGCAGTATATATGCATTTGATACGTTCCATACATAAAGATGGGGGGGAATGGTTTCACTACGATGTTACTTTTAGAAAGGCCAGGCAAGGGGATATCTCATTATCATGGAGACAAGTAGATCAGGTCCTTTATAGTCGGGCTTTAATGAAAAAGTTGGGGGCTCCTGTAACTCATCATGCTAATAATGCTAAGAACCAGCTTTTTCGTCCCCACTGTTTCAAATTTAATGAAGGAAAGTCTTGCAGTAGCCTCTGTAAATACCCCCACATCTGTTCAACCTGCTTTAAACCTCACCCCAAAACCCAGTGTTGGAGAAATAAAGAAAAAAGGTTTTCACCTAATACACAGTCAACCGGGTCCCAACCTACAAAGAAAGCCTGAGTACTCAAGCAACTTACCAACTCCTATTAACCCAGAGAAATTGGCTCAATACTTGGTAGGTTATGATAAATCCAAGACACTTTATTTATTAGATGGTTTCAGAAATGGTTTCAAGTTAGAATATGAAGGGGACAGGGGGTTTCAGTACAGTCCTAATCTTAAATCAGCCCTTGAAAAGAAAGATATTGTGAATCAAAAAATTTCTAAAGAACTCAGTGCTGGCCGCATAGCAGGACCTTTTCCTAATCCTCCTTTCGATTCTTTGAAAATTTCGCCACTAGGTATAGTGCCTAAGAAAACCCCAAATGAGTATCGAATGATTCATCACTTATCCTACCCCAACAAAATTGAACGTTCGGTTAATGCGGGTATATCTGATGAGGCAGCTGCCGTTCAGTATGCAGGTATAAATGATGCTGTAGGGTATATTAAACAACTTGGGGAAACTTCATTCTGTTGCAAAACAGACATTCGCTCAGCCTTCAGAATTCTACCTGTTTCACCAACAGATTATGAGCTATTAGGGTTTATGTGGGAGAACAATTATTTCTATGATAGGTGTCTACCAATGGGTTGCAGAACAAGTTGTAAAATTTTTGAGCAGTTTAGTACTGCAATAGAATGGATCGCGAAGAATAGGTTAGGGATCACAGCTGTAGTTCATATTCTGGATGATTTTCTTTTTATTGAGCAATCCAAAATTTTATGTTTACAGAAATTTAAAAGTTTCCTTGAACTTTGTGCCGACATTGGAATCCCCCTTGCAGCAGAAAAAACTGTTCTTCCTACACAGATTATTGAGTTTGTTGGAATAGAGATGGATGTTCGGTTAAGGGAAACCCGGTTGCCCAGAGATAAGATCTTGAAATGTACAAATCTGCTCAAAAATTTTGTTCAAAAAGATAGATGTACTGTAAAAGAGATGCAATCACTTATAGGGGTTTTGAATTTTGCTTGTTCGGTTATTTTACCAGGTCGCGCATTTCTTAGACGTTGTATAAATGTGCTAATGAAAGTGTCTGAAAATCAAAAGTTTATAACCATTGGCCTAGAATGTAAACAGGATATGTTTGTGTGGTTGACATTTCTTGAAAAGTATAATGGTAAGACTATGTTTTTAGACGAGAAATTTCTGTCAAGTAACACCCTCCAGTTGTATACAGATGCTGCACAGTCAAAAGGCTTTGCAGGAATATATAAAACGCAGTGGTTTTATGGTAGTTTTCCTGAAAACTGGAAGAATTTGAACATTATGACTTTAGAGTTTTACCCGATTGTGCTTGCAGTTTCTACTTGGGGAAGATTGTTTGCTAATCACTCCATTCTTTTCTTTACTGACAATGAGGCATTAGTTTCTGTTATCAATAAGCTATCTAGCAAAGATCAATTAGTGTTACAGATGGTTAGGTATTTGGTCATGCAATGTCTGAAGCATAATATTGTATTTAGAGCAAAGCATATACCTGGTAAACACAATAAGTTGGCAGATAGCCTTTCTCGATTACAGGTTCAAGAATTCCGGAAGTTAGCACCAGATGCACAAGTAGAACCAACCATGGTGCCAGAAACACTGATGCCTCAAAACTTTTGGACGACATTGAAAAGCTTACAACTGCAGCTATAGCACCATCGACAGCAGCAACATATAACAGAGCTTGGCGGGCTTTTGCATCTTTCTGCACTTCATACAGTATACCATGTGTGCTGCCTTTAACTTCATCCATAGTTGCTCTTTTTGTAGCACATCTGTTTTCTACAGCATTCTCACCGAAAACCATCTCTACTTATTTGTCAGCTTTAGGGTATGTGCATAAAATTTTGAATTATCAGGATCCTACACAGTCATTTTTAATACAAAAATTAATTGCTGGAGCTTATCGATTGGGCAATACATTTGATATTAGATTACCTATTACCAACCATATATTAGACAAATTGGTGTCATGTCTACCACAAGTTGTTATGGAAGAAAACAATCAAAAAATGTTTAGGGCTTTATTTCTATTTGCATTTTCGGCATTTGCTCGTATTGGAGAGTTGGTCGGATCTGAGGGTCATTACGATGAAGTCATCCAAATTTCAGATGTCACTTTTACATGTAAAGCAGGAAAACCTTCTCAGGTCAATGTTTGTTTTAAAACTTTTAAGCACAACTCTTCTGGTATACCTAAGTTTATTTCATTCTCACATGGAGATTGCAAAATTTCTGCAGTAGAAGCACTTTTACAGTACTTAAATACAAGGAAAAATATTACAGGTCCTTTGTTTCTTTTGGATAACAGCTCACCTTTAACTAGAGTTAAATTTAATCATATACTTAAAAAATGTTTGCTCATGTGTGGTTTAGACAGTACAAAATATAAGGGACACAGCTTTAGAATAGGTGCTGCTACAGCAGCGGCTCTTAAGGGATGTACGGATGCACAAATTAGGGCTATGGGACGATGGCAATCCAATGCATTTCAAAAGTATATAAGATCAAATCATGTTCCCACTAGTGAGTAAACAAATCTATTGCTTATTGACCTTCTCTTTGATATTGGCTGTAGCTTGTGGTTATTGAATACTTGCTTGGGCCAGTATTCAGTTAGCTATTTTAAAAATTTTACATTCACATGTTAATAACAAAGTTTCATAAATACATAGAAATGCTCGTCCTTCTGATTCATAAACTTATTTTTGAATATCTGCTAGGGCCGGTATTCAATTAAATCAACATTTAACAATACCCCCTTGCTTGGCCAGATAACATAAGCTTTATTTCATAGATATCTGCTGGGGCCGGTATCACTATAATATGAATACATGCATTACTTGGTGATGTTATATTACTTCTGGTGCCAGTAGTAAAAGTAGATCTGAAGTGTTACCTGCTTGGGCCGGTAACATGTTTTTATGTATGTAAAGACATTTTCAATGAAGCAAGAGTACTTGCTGGGGCTAGTACTCATTTGTTGTCATATTTAGAACTCTGGTACAAAAGAAATCCTTATTTGTTTTTGTATTATTATGCATATATGTTTTGATGTAAATATATTTTATATGTTCATTCCTTCTTGTAAAAGCATTTTTATATGAATGATGTACAGGCAATGGCTTGGTTGGGGTCGTTTCAAAGATCATTTTGAACATGATCTTCTCAACTGTGGATAATTGACCCCACCTTTGCCAATTTTATAACATTCAAACTATACATTGTATACTCTCTTTATTTACATGTTAAATTCTGGATTTTGTTTTGTATGAAGAAAACTGTATATACATGTTTTACAATTGTTTTCGGCAAACAGTAGTTAATATAGAGTTTGTGTTCTGTTATTATTATACATGTATGTAAGAAATATTTTATAGGTGTAAAGAACAACTGTCCATTTTGTTGGTAACCTTTGATGCTTATATTAACTACAATTTTGTTTATTGATCAAAACCTTTATTTTGATCAATAAAATTCAACTTCAATATACATTTGTCTTTTGTCCTTTTTCATGGCATTTTGGGAAAAGAGGAGGCATAAATGCAATTTATGTAAATAAATTATTTTATGACAACGAATTTCCATGATTTACATTTCTCACCCTTGGTGAGCCTCATATTTTGTTTAATCAGTAACCCGTATGTAGCCTCTCAACTTTCCTTGGATTTCATTGGCTAAGAGATAGCGTCCTTTTTGTACTAGACTTAGCCTGGAGGAAAACAAAGATTTTTTGGGATCATTTTAACCAGTTTTTTATTTACCCTCCCTCCTCCCCTGAACCACTTTAGAGTGTGGTCAGGATAATTGACCCCACCTTTGCCATTTTTATAACATTCAAACTATACATTGTATACTCTCTTTATTTACATGTTAAATTCTGGATTTTGTTTTGTATGAAGAAAACTGTATATACATGTTTTACAATTGTTTTCGGCAAACAGTAGTTAATATAGAGTTTGTGTTCTGTTATTATTATACATGTATGTAAGAAATATTTTATAGGTGTAAAGAAAAACTGTCCATTTTGTTGGTAACCTTTGATGCTTATATTAACTACAATTTTGTTTATTGATCAAAACCTTTATTTTGATCAATAAAATTCAACTTCAATATACATTTGTCTTTTGTCCTTTTTCATGGCATTTTGGGAAAAGAGGAGGCATAAATACAAATTATCATTGAATCAAATCCTAACTGACACTTTTCATACTAATCATATAACTACTGAATTGTCGACGAATTTCCCGTAATTTCTCGATCATGACAAAGAGCACTCAGCGGGTGTAATCGGTCGACAAGGGATCCTTACTTCTCAATGTCATCCGTTTCTACCTCTAGTGTTTTAAAGGTATGTGTTTGCTCTGCTTCATTTTGAATTATTAAAAAAAATGTTGAGCTTAAATTCTATTTGTTTTCTCCATATATTTCATACATCAATATTAACATCAGCCAGCAATATTGGTCACAAAGGACAATAAAATGTTAAAATACATTTGCTTAATTTAAGGAAATAGTTTTAATGTAAAGAACTTTTCTATTTCTAGATTGTAACATGAGATTTGTTTTGGTAACATGCTGTCCTACTTGAACTAAAGTGATTTTAGAAGACAAATTTTCACTTTCATAAAAAGCTAGAATTACACGTACATGTACAACGTCAAAATGCACTGAAGCATGTGAAAAAAAAATCTGAACGAGAGTTTGAAATACCATTGCTTTGATTGAAAAAAGAGTTTATTTTGTTATAAAAAAAGATCCAGACAAGGTTAAAGGGGATACATGTATATCCTCCGAGGGCAAAGGAATAAACCGAGCGCAACTAGGTAAAACTTTATTTAACTGAGAAATGTAATAATACTTATTTTCCTAGTATTAAGAAAGTTGAATACCTTTGAATCATGGCTTCAAGTAATTTTATTACAAATATGACGTTACTGAAAAAAAAAGAAATTATTGCTTTCCTCTCTTCTAAATGATACTTCTTCCTATATTCTTACATCATAATAAAGGTCTTTGGCAAAATTAATTTTTCAGCCCAAAAATAGGTAAAGATGAAAGATATTGTGATAACGAACAGTATTCAATATCAGAGTCCATTAAAAAAACAAAATAGGAGCAGAGCAAACACGGACCTCTAAAACATTAGAGGTGGGATTAGGTGCCATGGAGGAGTGAGCATCACCTGTCACCGGTTATATCGCCGTGTGCTCCTTGTCCTGATCTGGAAATAACGGAAAAATCCACAGTCAATTCAGTGTATAAATAATGAACTGATAATTGAATGAAAAAACGTCCTTCAGCATTTGACTCAATGGTTAATTGTGTTTGCTGGCAAGGTCATTGTATCTATTAAAGAACTTCCGAAATGATGACTTTAAACGAGACTGCTGATATTCTTGTTTCATCATCTTGTTTGTCAATAATTTACCTCGTTTTAGAAATTGTTCATTTGTAGAGCATACTGTTGCGTTTTGAATCAACTGAGATATATAAACGTCGAATGCACGTGATGAAGGTATATTGTTGCATGACTTTATAAGTAAGGGGAAATGACGATAGAAAATTTAAAGGCATTACGTTTGTCATAGAGCTTGGTTGTTGGATTACCATTAATGTCTTTTTCAAGTAAAATATCCAAAAATGAAACAGATGTGTCAGACTCTGTGGTATCTTTAACAAACAGCAATCTATGAATATTACAAAAATGTTAATTTCACGACTAATGCGCAGATTGGAATTTCAAATGATTTTTTCTGGTCCTATACCTCCCTAATAATCTGTTTAACAAAACCATCAATGCAATAAGAAAAACAAACTAGTCCAGGATTATAGTACATGTATATTATTATTACAAATATTATATCATTGAAGATAATTCAGGGCCAGTGACATTATTCGGAGTATCTGATAGATTAATGACCAAATAAACAGAATTATATACTTTTCTGCACTTTTTAGGGAAAGAAAAGAAAGAAAAAACGAAATATACACACAGAATTTACTCACACACTCTCAGGCTCACACTAGAGCAAATACATGGGAGGCTCAGCTGGTAACGCTTTAGAATTAAAAAAAAAAGATATTGAGGTTCCTCTGTTCTCCTGCCGATTAAACGACTGAGGTTGTTTTGTTTAAAGCAGGTAAAATCAAATAACATCACATAGAAGTGAAACATTTTATTTATCAATTATATATCAAATTAAAGTGAATGACGGAAGAAGAATAACACAATTTTAAAATGTGGGTCAGAAAAAGGGGACTCAAATACAGAGTATTACACATCCAAGGCAAAATATTACACGATCTGACTCCAAGCACCATAATGACATTGTAACATGATGTACATAGGAAAAAACTGGGGTCAACCAGATTAGAATAAGAATTCAAACACTGTATTCTTTCACAAGGTACAATATATATATATATATATATATATATATATATATATATATATATATATATATATATATATTTCAAGTTGACCTTCTTATAAACATCATCAGATTCAAAACAGATTCAAAACATGATTCTTTTCCAATCAATTCTGGCACAATTAGTGAATTATTGGATTCTATTTTAGAATTGAAAAGATTTTTGAACAAATGGGGTATATTGGATAATTGAATATTTTCAATATTGTTTTTTTTTTGGTGGAAGAGGGGAAGGATGTTAAAATCTCATTAGAAGCATGACAACTTCCAAACTTATATAACATAAATGTATTTTATTTATGTATTTATCAATGTATGATTGCAAATTTAGGATTTTCCAGGCTCACAATTAAGTAAGTGAAAAGATTCATGTAAATAAGAATGTTAGCATTTTAGTTGATCCTAACCATACCATTTTTTCAACAAGAATTTCTGTTCAATATTTAAGCACTACGGCAAATGGAAGAAGAAGCTATTGTAAGATATATTTACATCTTTAAAATATTCGGTGAAACGTTGTCAACATGTCAGTTTTGTGCGACTTTGTTAGAAAGGGATGTTTTTAATGTCTCCTAGGCATCTGCTCCTACTCCTGTATTTCCATGGATGGGTGTTTAATATATTTTTTAAACCCATATGTATTTCTATTGTTTATAAACCAATAACTGTTCAGTACCATCATCTTAACATTTTCATTTCATGCCAAAAAATAAAATTTCAATTTACTATTAAGTATTTAATTTCACAATGACGCCATTAGTGGTCAGCGTAATCTATAAAATCGGTTTATACTGATGAGATTAAGTAACTAAAATGCACACGGAAATTATGTCACTTATCAGTTGATTCGATACGCAAGACCATGCACTATGTTTGAACAATTCTCTTGACAAATTAGTCGCTGAACAAGAATATCAACAGCCTCATTCAAAGTAATCATTTCGTAAGTTCTATAGTCGATACAATGACCTTGTCAGAAAATACAATTTATCATTTAGTCAAGTCAAATGCTAACTGACGTTTTTCATACTAAATGTTAGGCTATTATATATATACACATACTGAATCGCCAACGTTTTTTTGCGTTATATCCGATCATGACAAGGATCACACAAGGGGTGTCATCGGTCGTCGGTAGGAAATTCTTACTTCCATGGCGCCTGATCACGCTTCTGATGTTTTGGAAGTCCGTGTTTGCCCTGTGCCAATTTTGCATTGTTAATGGATTCATGATGTTGAATTTTTGTTTGTTATATCCATATATTTCAGAAATGAGCTTTTCCATCAGTCGGCAATGTTGATCAACAAGGACAATAGAAAATAAAATTCCAAATACGTTTGCTTTATTTAAGGAAATAATAAAAGGGATATTTTTCATATAAAAGGCATTTCTATTTCTATATATTGTACATTGCAACTTAAGATTCTTTTTGGTACAAGTGTAACATGCTGTCCTGCTTGAACTACAGTGATTTCAAAAGACATTTTTTCACTTTCATAAAAAGCAAAAAATGCGTGCATATGTATACCGTCAATATACATTGTAGCATGTAAAAAAGATCTAAACGAAAATTTGAAATAGCATTTATTTGTATGAACAAAGAGTTTATGTTGTTACGTAGAAAAAACAAACAAGGGTTAAATAGGATATATCCTCCGAGGGCGATGGAATGAACCTAGTACAAATCTCGGTAAAACTTCATTTAACCGAGAAATATAATAATATTGGGAAAGTTGAATACCTTTGAATCATGGCTTTAAGTAATTCTTATACAAAAACCAGCCATGCTCCTATACAAATAAGACGTAAATGGCGACAAAATATAACTTTCCTATCTTCTAAATGATAAGTCTTCCTTTTTTATTACATGATAATAAATGTTCTTGGCAAATGTATTCTTCAACGAAAAATAGGTGAAGATAACATACATTAAAAATATAATGATTTCACGGCTAATACACAGGTTGGATTTTCTAGATAATCATTTTCTCTGGTCCTATACCCCTTAAAATGGTATGTTAAACAAAACCATTCATTAGTGAGCAAAACAAAATAAGCAAAAATTATAGCACGTGTATATCATTAAGACAAATATTATATCATTGAAGATAATTCAGGGCCAATGACATTGTTTGGAGTACCATTATCTGATAGATTAATGACCAAGTAAACAGAACAACTCAAGTTTTTGCACTTTCATCAAGAAAGAAAAGAAAATATTAATTGATTGAGTAATTGTATATTGTTTAACATCCGTCTAGAGAATTTTTTATTCATGTGACGACGCCACCAATTGCCGGTTAAGAGCTGCAAATTTTGTCCTATACTCGTCACTCAGAACATTGAGCAGGAAGGGATCTTTTTTCGTGCCAGCACCTACTGCCATACGGGACATCGGTTTCTACGGTCTCGTCCGAATGACCGGTCTCCACGTCTACTCCCATATTCGGATTAAAAGCCGCGAAGAAAGGATCAACTCCTTACTTCGCAACTCTAGAGCACACGCTCTAACCACTGCGCCACGCGGGTGACTCGAAAAGAGATAAACCAAAAACACAATTAACTCACACACACCTTCGCGCTCACACTAGAGCCAAACAGAGGAGGCCCCTCTGATAACGCATTAAGAATTTTACCAAAATATTTGTATGATATGGAAGAATGTAAACGAAACTCGACTTTCTTTTTCTATGACACAGTCCGAGTATTATTTTTGTCGGGATACTGAAGGAAAAAACAACCATGATGAAAGTTCAACGAGTGTTTATAGGACTGAGATTAAAAAATGCTTCTTTTGCCAAAATATTAAATAAGCTAGAATATGCTGTAAGTAGGTGGTCGGCCCTGATTATCAAACATTAGGAACTTGTCTCCATAACGATTTTCCTATCAATAAATTACTGTAAACCAACTTTTATTCGCGTGCGAGAAATTTTCGCGAAGTTCGCGAGAGCCTCGTCGTCGCGAATATTTCTCGCCGCGAACCAGTCCTTTAAGTCTATGTGTGATTTTTTTTTTCTTCCACACGATTTACATCGATGTGGCTAGCAGTAAATTATCAACATTCAACAGCACGTGGTTATTTTTAAAATATATCCAGAATATTAACAATTTACCTTGATTTATGTAAGATATGTATTCTTTTTCGGGGCATTGATACTCATCCAGAAATTTTCAATGTTACGAGCAACAAACCAAACTTGGAGCCATATTGTTCTGTTAATTGGGTTACTGCCCTTTTTTTGTTTACCGAACCCGATGGTGTTTTCAAAGCATGAAAAAATAAACTTAAAAAAAACGCAAGAACATTTATTTCATTTTAAAACATTTTAAAAATTTACTACTAGTTAAAAAGCAGCATACTTACTATTCATGCAAACTTTAAAATTGTCCAGATAAATAAAACCTTCATCATGTTCATTAAGCATGTTCAGAATTACATGTAAATATAAGGAATGTGTACATGGTAAATAAAAGCATAAGACATCTTAAAAACATGCATAAAAAAGTTAGACATCACTCGTTTAATGTGGCACAGAAGTATAGGATCAGAATGCATTAATCTGTTAATCACTCAACATGCCCGATCTATACCACCCATTTCTGATAACGTCTCGCTGACTCTCAAGTCCTTTGAGCGCATCGATGACCCAGTTTGCATGGGGAACTTTCACCGAGGAGAGTTTCAAGTCAACTTTGATATCATCGATCTTTTTTCCTGCTTTCAGTTCTTTTTTTATTTCTGTAGCATACCAGGACACAAATCGTTTTTTTACCAAGTCTTTAAACTGGGCATTTCCGGAGAGATCAAGCGGTTGCAATTCACCAGTACAACCACCCGGTATGAATTTCACAATAATGCCGTTTTTCTTTAATTTTTTAAGAAATGATTCTGTTCTGTGTGCAGCAAACACATCAAATATGCATAAGGCAGGTTGTTTTAAGGGTAAATCAAGGGAATCGCGCATCTTGTTGATGTAGGGCAGAAGAATGGTGTCAACAAATCGGCACATGGTTTCTTCGTTTGACCAATGGTTCTCAGAAAAATGAATATCCCATCCCTGTGGAAAACGAACAGATGTCGGGGTACATTGTAGTGTTTTACCCTGATACAATAGCTGAGGCGGAAGAATTTTTCCAGACATCGAACATGTGAGAAGAGCGGTAATCTGTCTCTTGTCCTCCGGTCCTACGATCTCCACTTGCTTATCGCCTGTGAAATGAAAAATTTCATTTAATTTCAAATAATTGCATGTCCCACAAAAACGAAATAAATCTTTGACTTTTTGAAAAATTAAATAGTGTATAAATTCTAAAATGATTTCTCATCAGTTCACATGGTTAAAACAACTGTTTGAAAGTTTGATTATAATAGGTCATAATGGTGTATAATTAGTTAATCACACCTACCGACACTGTGCATCGTCCAATTACCGCAGGGGATTATTGACACGTTCGTTTGATCAAAGTTTAGGACAAGTTCTTCTGGAATGTTATGTTCCAATCTAATTTTCTTAACAGATAAAACAAACTCTAACTTCTGGTTCTCGAAATCCAGGGGAAGTTTTCTGGCTGCCTTTGTCCCTTTTCGTTTCACAAAACCCAGTCGTCTCAGAAATGATTCCGCCCAGGATCGATCCAATGCAATGGGTCCTCCATTTTCTGACAGTAAGGAGCGGTCATTGAACTCAACTATTCCTTTAGCCCCCGCAATTAAAATATGTCTATTAACTACTGACCCAGCGTTGCGTAACTTTTTGATATAGTCAATGACTTCATCGTCATACTTCCCCAAGACTGGGGGTCTTCCCCGTGACGCAAGTGGCAGAGACGTACATATACCATCTTCGGAATTCCGTATTTCCCTTAGATACTGTTTTTTTATTGATCTAACAGTCGATTCATTAATTTCAACCTGAAGTTCTTTAGAATAACGTTTAGCAGCACTCGTATTTCCGTATTCA